CTCGGCCCTTGGCCGACCATGTCACGCATGACATGCAGCGACTGCTTCGAAACTTGAGTAGCGCTCAGTGGGTTACGTGCCACTCCACGGTCAGCCCGCGAGCCACGCTCGGGACGCCTGTCCGATACACCGTTGGTGTCTACCAACTCGGACATTCCAATGTCTAGCACGTTGATCGTCTTGGTCCAGTGCTCTCGCCAATAGCGCTTTTGTGTCATAGCAGAGGTGAATTCATGACTCGCCAAATCTCCACCAGGAGACGTGCGCGTAGCGCCCAAGGTCATTGACCTCCAATCAATCCATTGTTCATGGTGTTTCAACCATGCCATTCCTAGGATGAGGTCATACCTTGCATCCAAGTCTAAGACTAGACAGCGTTCCACGCTATCAAAGTCAAGAAGCTTGACTCCGAGGTCCACAGGGACCTTCCCGACCGTGACACGTGTCCCCGTCGCTAGGCGAACAGTGACGATGTCACCCGACCGCGCCTTCGGCGCCTCAGCATGCAGCTCAACGTGGAATTTCGGGCATAATTGTCCGACGCTCCGGAATCGATGAGGATTTTTTATGGCTTCTCGAAAATCTTTACGGTCGCCTCCACGACCAGCAAGCCCGGCTTGCAACACGGAGCTTTTTGGGGCTGGGCCCTGTTGACCTCTACCTCCCTGAGACTCAACAGAACTCAGTTTTCTAGTAGGTCGCCCCGCGCCTACTGGATGGTGTCGTTTCCCAGCGACGAACCAGACTGGTAGGCAATGGAGCGAAGGTTCGAAGAACCTTGACGCGCCTTGCGCAGGGGGCAACCGCTCCGAATGTGACAGGTGTCTCCACAGACAAAACACCGTCGTGTGTTTGTGTGCTGCCTGGCAGCTTGGGGATCTACTTCCTCGTCCTCAGCATAGCTGAGATCCATGGGCACAGGTTCGATCGACGAGCTGTTGGAGTGTGCATTCAAACCATGTCGTGCGACTTGAAATTGAACTCGGCTTTCAATGCCACATTTACCGCCTCTTCAAATGAATATGGATGCACACGGAAGACTTCCATTCTGGCCACGCCAGTGCGGAGGCCTTCCATAATAACGGTGATTGTGACCGCTTCAGGAAGGAAATCTGCAGCCATCCCGGCAATGAGATTACGCATCTCTTGGACAAAGTCCACCAATTCCTTATTGCCTTGTCGGGCGGCAAGGAAACGCGATCGCACGCGATTTGCCTGATTAGGTGGCGAGAACACTCATGAGAGCTGCAATTTTCGCTCTGCCCAGGATGGAAACGCAGCGTCAGTGCCCATTCTCGCACTCGACCACCGGGCTTGGAGATGGCTAGCGCCACGCGCTGTTGCTCGGTCTGGAGCATGGTGGATGCGATGGTCATCTCGACCTCTCTCTCCCAGAGCAAGAGACTCTCTCCATCCTTTCTTTCAAAAACCGTAATGCCCACTATGAGCAGCTTAGGGCGGAAAAAGGCATCCGTTACTGACGATGGCGTCGTAGACGCAAATGATGCTGCATCTTCTGCTGCAGGTGCTCTAGCAGAGCGTTTTCGTAGACTGAAAACGCCTCTAGACGCGCACCGATTGCCTCGGGGCCTTGCGCCGCAAGGTGTTGCACGCCCTCAGGGCCCAGCAAGGACGTCAGCTTGTTAATCCCGCCCTGCATGCCCTGGGATAAATTGGAAAATTCCTTCATCCTCATAGAGGACCAGTCAAAACGACTCAAATGTAGATTGACTACAAGTGCTACCAAGTGCAGCGGGGCTGTCGTAGCTTAGCGCTTGAGGAAGCTTAGCTTAGGTCACCGACCTTTTGTTCTATACTTAGAACAAGTACGAGCTAGCGGATCGCAATCAGCTTACTCCAGCAGTAGTTATTGCCTTACCCAAGGCTAATTATCTCTTCCGTTCAAAATCATAAACTGATTTTTATTTATTTTTAGGGAGAATAAAAAATGCCCCATCTTTTTCCATATATAAAGAATATCCCAACTTTTCAAAAATAAAAAAATACCCCAGCACGTAAATTATCACCGGGAAGCCGGTAATATTACGGGAAGCCGTAATATTACACAACAGAAGATGTATTGTATTAGGAATGAATTAGCATAATTTAACAAAGTATACATTAATATGCTATAACATTAACCAAGTAAAGCTAAATTAATTCTTACCAGGTCCCACATTAGCTCAGATGGCT